GGGGGGGCAATTTAGGCTTGGCCCGCTGGAGAAACAGCCTGGGGCGATGAGCCTGAAGGAGGGATGGGCCCTTGCTTGTGTGTGTTTCGGCGTGGTGGGTGGCGACAACGGGAGGCAGAGCCTACCCCACGATCGCCGGCTGATAAAAACACAGAAAAAGAAAAGACAAAAAGAAAGCAAAAATGCAAGGCTCGAGGCATGCAGCTGCCGAGAAGGGCCTGCCCACTCTCGCGTGGCGCCCAAAAGCATGGCTGAAACATCCGACTGTGACTGGCCAGAGAGCGCCAATCCACACCAGAGATAAAGCATTGAGTTTCGCCGCCCGCTGGACGGCAAGGGGAGATTGGACGTGTGCATGACGATAGCAATCAGAGATATGAGCGTGTCTCTATACGTACCAAAGGTCTGAGTTGGCTGGAGACCAGACCGCGAGGTCGAGATGGTCGCCCTCCTCGCCGGCCTCAGTGGGGGCGCCTCGGTGACGGGCGTGTTGGCCATGGAAAGTGCAAACTGCTGCTCTTCTTCCTCGTCCTCAAAGACTTCGAAACCGTTGAGGTACTCGTCTACCACATTGTTGCGGCGAGAGTACCCCATCTGGTCAGTATACTCCTCGTCCGAGAAGGGCGGCGAGTAGCGGGCGGGGTCGTCGTCGAAGAAGTCGGCGTCGTCGATGTAGGATGATTGTGAGAAGGGCGCGTTGTTGATGGGGAAGCCAGCCATTGTGCCGGTGGTTGGCGTGTCGTTCTCCCTGGCGCTTCAGATGGCTGTGGGCGTTTGTATGGTGTGGAAGAGAGGCATTCCCATGCCGGCTCTGCCCCTCATTCGACTGCGGCAGAGTGCGTTCTCTCGCCGGCGCGCTGCTCGAGGGGTTGCTGTTACCGAGGAGAGACGGGGGCAGAGAGTAGGGCGCCGGGACAAGATTGTTGGCGGGCGGGAAAAGATGCTGAGGAGCCGGTCTGACAGGATGGCGTCGGCCGTGGTGTGTCGTGAGCGTGGTTTTGGTTTAGGTGGGCTGATTGATGATGTTGGCGTGCTGTTCTTGATAGTGTCGTCGTCGGCTGCGGCGAAGCTCTGCCGGGGGGTGAGACGCTCGGAAGGGGGCGGAGGGACGATATAGGAATGGGGCCCACCGAGACGACGGTGTTGGTGCTGGACAAAACAGAAAGGTATATTGGAATAAAATCAAAATGGCAAAAAAGAAGAACCAAAAACCCTGGCGGTTAGGTAGGTACAGGCAGGACGAGGTTGCTAGGGTGGCGGATGGGATCCGGGCTCCATGGAGACTCAGTGAGACTCTTGGGCTGCAGTGGGCAGGTGCCCGTGAGCGGCTCGAGAGGCACAAACGCAGTGGGCAGACCAGACAGGACTTGTCCGTCAACGGTGGCCAGGAAAGGGCAGGTAGCTCCGAGTACCGCGTCATGCTCAGGGGTGGGTTGAGCTCGCTCCAGGAGCCGTGCTGGAGACCGACCGAGCTAGAGTCCCTGTGCCGTGCTCCGTGCCTGGGCTGGACTTGGACTGGGGCTCATGTGTTTGCGTGCTTTTTTGTGAGGCGTCTTTCTTCAGTCTCGAGCCGTCTTTCCGGCTTGGTCTAGCTGTTGACTCCAGCAGCGCAAGTTATCATCCCGCGCAAGTTATCATCCCGCGCAAGCACGGCAGAGCAGCAGAGTAGCAGTAACGGGAGCTCCTCGCTTGAACTTGTCAATTTCCACTCGTCGGCTGTAGGTTTCCACTCCTGGCTGTGGGTGTGTCTGGCAGGAGCGCTCGGCTGCAACCTCAGAGTTGTGCCCGCCTGCGACTGCCCATCCATGCCCCATCCACCACCACCTGCAACCACCTGCACCCACCCTCTCGGCGCCAGGGCCGCCTGCAGCAGTGGGGTCGAGCCTGGGGGACTGCGGGCCTGTGGTTGGGTGCTGGCCGTGATGGAGTGGGTCCCTTTTCCTGTGGCCGCCGGAGCGGCTGCTACGGAACTGGGAGTGCTGGGCAGGGATCCTGGGCAGGGTCCTGGGCAGGGATCCAGCCTTCTCCAACGGGTCCAGCCACGATAAAGCCCGGCCACCACTCCCACATCCGTCCTCCCATCCGTCCTCCCACCCGTCCGCCGTTGCAATATCACGGCCGGTCTCGCTCGCTCGTCTGCGTTGATATCGGCAGCGAGCCGGGGGGAGGGGCCGCGAGAGCAGGACGCAATGCAAGGGATGAGGGGGTGGCCACTGACGAGTGCATGCCTAGAGTGAATCTGCAACAAAAATGGTGACATTTAATATATCGACAGAGGGGTACCAGCAGAAGGGTTACACTTGACAGCCGACAGGGAAGAAGCTCCCTCTAATCGGCTCTGCCATGTTGACGCGGGCGCTTGCCTTCTCCTCTAGCCTGTGGCGAGCGAACAGCCGTGCAAGCTCCCGTCCCCTCTCCTTTTCGTGTCCTTGCCTTCTCCCCCCTTCTCGCTCGTCTCGATAGACGGACCACCAGCAAAACGGCAAGATGTCCGTTACGTTTAGTCTGGCACACAAAACCTTGGATGCTCATCCCTTTGGCTTCGCATCCAAGCGCTTTCCGTTTTGGGCGCTAAGTGCGCTTGGAGTGCGCGCTGAATGCGCTTGGGGGTTTAATCAACGTTCAGCGCCCAAGCACTCGGGTTAAGTGCACTCTAAAACCAATGAGCGTACGTGGTGGTGAAAAGTGCGGTGTTTTGTTCTAGGCTAAGGCCCGGGGGTTGAAACTGGAAATCGCTGGGGTCGTGGTGACTTGCGGGGATGTCACGAGACTTTGAGAATTTCTCGTCCTTTAAAAGCTTTTCTCGATTTCTCTCCTTCTTTTACCAACTTCAACAATGGCAGTAACTTCATGCCAGCACGTGACCCCCCTTTCGCCACCCCTGTAATTTCCAGTTTTAACCCCCCCCTGTTGGGAGGTGGGTTTTTACTGTTCGCAGATGGTACGTGTGGATATGTTGCGGCTCCACACCGAATCAAGCCCACCGAGAAAGCTGCTGCCAATGCCCGGGCATTTAAACGTCGCCGCCATCCGGCCCCAACTACGGAGGTAGGAGGGTTAAATAATCTGCAGTGGGGAGGTTACTCGTAAAGCGAGGTGGGGGGGGGGTAAGTGTCACGGTACGCGTCGGGGCACCTGGGGAGGAACCTGAGGCCGCAATCTTAGCGCGCCAACGTCACGCTTACAAAACCGCGACAGAACGCCAGGGACGCTCTGCCCAGATAGCTTCCTCTTCGTGCAACAACAAAGCCTTTTCTATGACAATAAGGTGTGAGCCGTGGCAGTAAGGGTATGAAGGGGCTAATAGCAACGCATAAAAATTAATAAGGAAAAATATTTTTTTAACATTTATTAATAAAAAAAAGCTCGATTTAACGGCGGGGTAAATATATAAAATTAGGTGCCGCTCCGCTAATTTAACGCTTGCACGGCCTTCCGGGGGCAACCGTTAAATTGCCTTAATTTTAATTTTAGTTATTTAAGGTAAAAGAATAAAATAACATTGCTTTTTTTTAATGTTTTAATTCGTACTGCGGATAACACAAAAAAGCAATAAAGGCGTTAGCGAAGCTTGAAAGCGTAACTGTTCTTTTTATTTTTTATTAATTTTTATTGCTTAATTAGTATTTTTAATTTTTTTATTAATTTTTATTGCTTAATTAGTATTTTTAATTTTTTATTAATTTTTATTACTTAATTAGTATTTTTAATTTTTTATTAATTTTTATTGCTTAACCGGTATTTTTAATTTTTTATTAATTTTTATTGCTTAACTGGTAATTTCCATTTTTTACTGATTTTTACTGCTTAACCGGTAATTTCCAGGGGGAAACCCCTTGGGACCCCCCTTTTGCTTCCGGCGGCCCTCCGGGGGCTCCTGCGGAGGGCTACCACAACAACCCTAACCCCCCCCCCCCCAACACGCCGCACTGTTTAGCAATTAAAGTTAACCAATCGCAAGCCAAAATAGTTGGATCCTCGTGCGTGGACTGGCTACAAGCCATTTAAGCTACGAACTGTATCCCAAATAGGAAAACCCTTTGTTAGCATTTTGTTAAATTCTCCAGGTAAAGAATAGCTACGCCTTCCGCGCACCAAAACCTTGCCTTTACCTGCTTACCTCCCCTCGCTGCGCTCCGTCCGGTAAGTGGCGGTATCAGCAGGGTTTTGGTGCACGTCGGGCTTCGCTGAACAAAAAAAGAAGCTATTATCAGGAGCACGGGCGAAACCGCCCAACAGAAAGGGAGGAAGGGGGCGCTGGCAGCCAGCCGGGCACGGACCTTCCCGGGAACGTGCCGGCAAATTACCGGTATTGCGGCCAAAGCATAACGGCGAAGTTAAAAAATAAGGTAAACTTTAAATTGCACAAAAGCGCATAAAGCGCGGAAATTTTAAAAAACCGACCCCGCGTGCCCGAAAGGGTACGAAAAAAAAAACGTTAAAAAAGGAATAATTTTTGTTGGAAATATGTTACAGTCAAGCCTCTGCTCCTAAGGTAAGGCACCAAAGGAGTATCGAACAGTAGCACGTAATTTAACAGATTGAGGGGATTTACAAGGTAACCTGGGTGCGGTTTAAATGCTTGCTCCAAGGGTTACTTAAAAGCTAATTAAAGTTTAACTAATGCCGAAGCCTTAATTAAAAACTACTTAAAACAATAAAAAACCCTTTCTTTTTATAGCTCGTCCTTTATGCTATTTCCATCCTTTCCCAAAGTAATAATTTGTAATTTTATCGATAAATTACAAATTATTTAAGTAATTTATAACCTTATCGATAAATTACGGGCGGCTTATTTAAGCTTCCCGTGGTAAGGGGTAAGCGTTTGCTTACCTTTCGCTTTTTTAACCTCCTATCCCGGCCGGGTGGTTATTGGTTGTAACATTAAATCCCCTTTTTACAAGCCAAGCCCTTTTAGCTTGCTTACGTCCATTTTTCCCATTATTAATCGTAAGTATTATTTTTTTTACTATTTAACCGTCCCTTTTTTTTAATAATATTAGGTTAAATACAAAAACGTTTTACGCGTTTAACCTTTTAGCGCAAAAACTTTTTTGTTTTGGTTTTTGCATTGGTTATTAATATAAATTTTTATTTTTTTTATCGAAACGTTTTTAAAAAAAATATTTGTTTTGTTTTTCCGCAAAATTTTTTTCGTTGCGTAAAGTGTTTTGCTCGCAACCGTTTTGGTTGTAACATTTTGGGTTTTTTTTTAAATAATTGCGTTTTATCGGTTTTTAATACTAAAAAATTAAAACCAAAATGCGGGTTATTAAAATTAAACGTTGTGCTTTAAATAATTATTTTAAGCGTTTTCGTAAGCAAAAGGACCTTTAGTTTAAAAAGCAATTGCGAACGTTATTTCGGGGTATTAAAACCGTGGAAAAGTTGGAATAAATGGAACGGGCGGAACGGGAAAAGGTTGCTTTAATAACGGCCAATCCCTTTCCTTCCTTTTAACCCGATTTTTTTCCTTTATTTTTTAATTGGGCAGCGTCCGGGGTTAATCCTAATTTTAACCCGCTATTCCTTTTTTAATCGGGTAAGTTGTAACTTTTTTAACAATTCCTTTTGGTTGTATAGCGCAATGGTAACGCACTTGTTTTTGTAACGGGAAATCCTGGGTTTAATTCCCGGTGCGACCTGGTTAAATTAATATAATTGGTTTGTTTGGCCGATCGTATCGGTTCGATTTTTTTTTTTTTTTTGTTAATCCCGAAAATCCAAAGTTTGGTATTAATTTTAAATTGCTTGCGCTTTTTTAATCCGGTAAGTTATAATTTCTTTAACAATTTTTACAAATTGTATAGCGCAATAATAACGCATTTGTTTTTATAACGGGAAGTTTTGGGTTTAATTCCCGGTGCAACTTTGTAAAATCGATATGTTTCGACCCTTGGTCGGGGCTATCGGTTTTATTTTTTGTTTAAACTTGCTAGCTTATCCTTTGGATATGCTATAGGATTTTCCTTTTTTTGCTTTTTAAATTCCTCCGAATTTAAAGCGTTTTACAAGTTCCAAAGCTATTGCTAACTTTTTTTTAAATAATATTTTTGCAAAGCCTTTTGGCAATTTTTAAAGTTTGTTGTATTTTCCCATATATTGTGCTTATTTTTTTAACTTTCCCATTTAACGAAGTATTGCTTTTTGCAATAACGCATTTATTTGTTAAAAATGGCCTTAACCTTTTACTTTTGGTTAAGGTTAATTTTTATTAATTTAATGCTTTTAAAGCCCGAAAGCGCTAATTTTAGCAAAAAAACGTAAAAAACCAGGTGGATGCGCATGGTTAGTAATAGCTAAAATTCGTAATTAACCGGAAAAATAATACGGGTAACCCAAAAAAGTCCCCATTTTTTCCTATCCAGTTTATTGCTTAACCTTTTTGTTTTAATATTAGCGCGTAAAAAGTAAGCGTTATTCACTTTTTTAAAAGTTAATCCTTTAATCCTTTTTTTATTAGCTTATTTTGCTATTCGATAGCGCAGGTTTTCCAATTTATCCTAAAGGTTTTGGTACAATTTGGTAAGTTTTATTATTTGGATTTCCGTTGCTAAAGCTTTAAACCCGGCTTTAAGCTTGTTATACGCCGTAAAAGTATACCCATAATTAGCGTAAAACGGCGTTTTTTTTATGCTTTTATGCATAAAATTATTGTAAGCAAATTAAGCAATTAGTAACAATTGCACCCAATTATCCTGTTTGTAAATAATATAATAACGCAAGTATTGTTTTATCGTTTTATTAGTTCGTTCCGTTTGTCCGTCCGTTTGGGGGTGGTACGCTATTAATAAAGCGTATTTTGCTCCGAAAAGCGCCGTAAGCGTTTTCCAAAACTTGCTTGTAAATAGCTTGTTTTGGTTCGTAATTAATTTTTGCGGCATTCCATAATTCGTTATTACGTGCCGAAAAAAAGCGTAAGCTAAGGTTAGCGCATTGCTGCTTTTTTTGTAAAGTAAGTACAAGGCATATTTTGTAAGCTTATTTATTATTACCAATATATTATTATATTGTATTCCCGTTAAAAGCTTTTTAAATTTAAAAAGTTTAACGATAAAATTTATAGTAACTTTTTGCTATACCTTTTTGGGCGCTAGCAATGGTTAAAGTAATTTATAAAAAAAGTGCTTGCTGGGCTTGTTTTTAACGCATATTTAGCAATTTTTTATTGCTTCCAACATTATTGCCCAAATTCCGGTAAATCCGTAATGTTACCGAAGCTTTTTCCATATTTTAATTGCGTTTAAATGGCTATAGGCCAGCAATTTATGGATTTCCAAAATCCTTTTTAGGGTTTAATTTTGCTTTTTGGTTATCGAAGCTATTGCTTGCTAAGCTAAAACCAACGCTTTTTTTGGCTTATGGGCCAAAAGCGTTTTGGTTTTTTTTGGAATAGCAATTTCGTAATTGCTTTTTTTGCTTAAAGCGTTTACTTTCCCGTTTTCCAATCCTTTTCGGTACAAAATTTAAAAGTTGTAATTTTAAAAATACTAGCTCCAATGGATTTAACGCTTGTTAAAATTTTAATTTATAATAAAATGTGCTAAATTTTTGTGGTTAGTATATATCGTAATTTGGTAATTTGCCCCATACAAATATACCTTCCATTTTTCCAAAACCTTAATAATAACGAAAAACTTTTTATTATAAATTTGGTAATTTAATTTAAATCCTTTAAATTTTTGCAAAAAAAAAAGCGCAAAAGTGCAGCTTTCCTTTTTTATTTTGTTAATTTAATTATTTTCCAATCGCGTAATTTAACGCGTTAATTTCGATTTCGAATGGTTTATCGGGGTTTGGAATAACCAATATTGGTTTCCGTAAAACAACGCTTTTAAGCTATTTAAAAGCAATTTATTTTCGTACTTTTTAATAAAATTAAATATCGTTTTTGGTAAAATTTGTAAATAACGTAACGCTGCCATTAAACCTTTGCATAAACCGTTAATAAAAGTTAAGGAATTCCAAAAACGCCCGTACCTTTTGTACGTTAATAAACGTTAACCAATCGGCTATTTTTTATACTTTGGCTAAATTTATTTTTACTTTTCCTAGCGTAATAACGAACCCGAAAAAAACCACTTTTTGGGCGTACCATACGCATTTGTTTAAATTAATTAAAAGCTTTGCATTTTGTAACTTTTGCAACATTTGGTGCATTTATTGCTTGTACTTTTCCAACGTTTTTAAATATATTAAAATATCGTTTAAATACGTTAAAACGAAAATGTCGAAATACTTTCGAAATACGTAATCGATTATTTGTTAAAACGTAATTAGCGCATTGGTAAATCCAAAAGTTATAACCAATAATTTGTACACGCTAAACCGTATTTGGAAAATAATTATTTATTTTTGCCTTTTTTTAATTCGAAGCAATTTATATGCTTTTCGAAGGTTTAAAGCCGTAAAGTATTTGGCTTTGCCGAATTTATCGCGTAATTCGTCGATAAAAAGCAAAAAATATCGATTTTTTATTGTAACCTTGTTTAATGGTCGGTAATCGATGCATATTCGTTCCTTTCCGTTTTTTTTGGGCACAAATAAAATCCCGTATTTTATTGGAAATGTTAAAAATTTAATTACCCCTTTTTTAAATCCTTTTGTAATTGCTTTTTTAACCCTTTTTGCTATTTAAAGTTAAGTTAATACAGTTTTTGGTATTTAAATTGCGCATTTAGCTTAAGTTTAATTTCGTAATTAAACGGCCCGTATTTTGGAAGCACCGTTTTTAAATTTTTTTAAAATAATTTTCAATATTTATAATATTTCGAAAATACGTTAGTTAATTGTTGTAATTTTTGTTTAAATTTATCGTAAAGCATTGTTATAATTTTTTGTAATAAGGTTTAAAAATTGCTATTTTGCTTTATTTCCGTCGAAATACCCTTTTTCGGCTTTATTTTTACATTGCTTGCGGCCCGTAACTATTAAACTTTTTTAATTGCTAATAAAAACTTTTATTAAAGGTTATTTTTTTTTAATTAATTTTTAAATTGTGCTTTCGTAATTACGGAATTCCAAAAACCACATTTTCGTTCCGTATTTTTAACGCGTTTAGCGTTATTTAAAAAGGTTTGTTTTGGTATCGAAAGCTAAAATAATTGGTTTTAATATCGATTTATTTGTTATTGTATTTAATTAGCTTTTTTTTTATTATTATAAAAAAGTATAGCTTGTTTTTTTTGCGTACAAAAATACCGTATCGTAATATTGTTTGTAGCAATACGTAATTGCTTTAAATACCGCAATTAATTAATATTTTTAAGCAATAAGGGTTTTATTGCACCCATATGTAAAAATGTTATTCGTTTGGGCTAATCGTTATTGCTAAAGTTTTTGTTGCAAATGGTTATCCTTTTTATAATTTTGGTACAAATGGATTTTTTAATTTTTTGTTTCGAAATGCTTCGTTTAAAGCTTAAATAAGCTTATTTTCCATTTTTTGCGTACTTTTACGTATTTTAAATCGTTAAAATTACTAAAAGGTTTATACAAACCTTTTACATTTTTGTCGTACTGTATTGGTATGTATAAAAACTTATATTTTGTTTGCTATGCTTTGGCTTTTTGCATGGTATGGATTTAGCATTTTAATTTTTTACATTTTTACCATTTTAGGATTTTAATAACGCAAAGTATAAGCTATTAAAGGTTAAATCGAAACATTGCCAACTTTCCGTACTTTTTGGTAATAAACCATTTAAATAATTGTTACGTTAGCTTTGGTTTAGTAATAAGTTCGTTAATTTATTGGTAAAGGAAAAAATTATTCCGGAGCTTTTAAACCAAATATATTGCGCAATCCGTAAAAAAGCATTTTTCCTAAAACAACCATAAATGCTTTTGGTAATTAAGTATAAAGTTGTTATAATTTTTTTTTTTAATGCTATTTCGCAATTTTTTAGCCCATTTTTAGCTATACGTTTGCAA